GTATTACTCAAAAATATTGAAATTGGATTTAGTCATTCTTTCAACTGAAAGGCACATATGCTCAGAGAGTGCAATTACGGGGTTTACAAAAACAGGTGGAGTAACGAAGTTTTTATTCCCTACCGTCGATATAAAAATTAAAGTTTTTGTTATTTAATTTTTCTTAATGATCTAGCTTATAGATAGCTAAGCTTTAAGCTTTAGCACCGGTTAAAATGCATTTCAAAAATTTTATAATAGCCCACCATTGCCAGAAAATAGTTTCTGTTGAAAGCTGAGAGGTAAGTGAAAGTTGCATGTTGCGCGTACCAGATTTTTATAGCATATGATCGCTTGAAATCATTTCAAATCAATTATTAATCTATATGTTTAAACTATAATATATATATTTTTTTATTTTGAGCTTCATCTGTTTCTTAACATTCACGGACCTAACTGAGTAATTACAGCCGCCAAAGTTAAAACCATTAGCTCAAAAAGTCGTTACATACATTTTAGCTAATTGATTAAACACACTTTCATGGAATTTGACAGAATTTTGAGCTCAAATTCTTTCAAAACATTCACGGAATAAACCGAATAATTTAAAGTATCTGACTTAAAAACGTTCCAGGAGTTCGCTCGAAAAATCGTTACATACCTCTTAGCAAATCTATTAAACGTATTTTATTCAAGCACAGTTCAGTATTTTTGGCTCAGATTGTTTAAAAAATTCAAAAGATTTCTCCAAACAATTAAACTTCAATTTCAACTTCAAGTTTAAACTCCAAATAATATTAAACTTAAAAATAGACTCAGCCGTTGCTCATAACATTGTTACACACCTTTTAGCAGACACCCTGAACACATGACCCTCGTGTCAATTTTTACAATTATCTATTTGTAAAACTTATGCCAATAATTTGTACGCAAATATTAAAATAATTACCCATCATCAACCGGAGATATAAAGCTTACAAAAGTGCCAGGCCAGGAACATTCTCAGATGAGATATAAAATTTCAAGTTGAAACCTATGCCCATAACTTGTACCCATCAAGAACTGGATATATAAAGCTTGCAAAAGTTCCCGCCTTCTGACTATGGAATTTCGAGTTTAAACCTATGCTAATAATTTGTAAATAATTTTTAGCACAATATTAGAATTTGTACTTATGAGGAACCGGAGTTATTAAGCTCGCAATAGTGTTGGGCCAGGGACATGGTCAGATGACACGTAAAATTTCGAGTTAAAACCTACGCCAGTAAAATGTACCAAATTCGTACTAACAATTAGAATTTTTACTTATCATAAACCGGAGATATAAAGCTCGCAACAGTTCCGGGCCAGTGACATTATAACTCAGCAACTATGAAATTTCTATTTTAAACCTAAGCTAATTGTTTGTACCTAATTTGTACCAAAATATTGGAACATGTACTCATCAAGAACCACATAAATAGTGCTCGCAAAGTGCCGAGCCAGGATGCCATATAGAATTTTGAGTTGAAACTTATGCCAATAATTTGTATCCAAATATTAGAAGAATTATCCATCAAGAACCAGAGATACAAAGCCTACAAAAGAGCCGGGCCAGAGACATGGCGGCTCTGAAATTATGGAATTTCGAGTTAAAATATATGATACTAATTTGTATTAAAATATAATTATTAGTACCCATCATGAGTTACTGTCATTTTCGAAACTTTTGACATTAATGTCTCCCTATTGGTACTAATTTGAACCAAAATATCAGAGTTTGTTCCAATCAAGAACTGAGATATTAAACCACCAAATGTTGGCCAAGTGGTTCTTTGTGGGCCAGCGCCAATGTAAGTCTTGTAAAGTTTCACAAGTTATAAAAAACGAAAATAATCAATTATTTTTACTTTTCCTCACGTTGACTTGAAATATTTATCATTTTCTTTTATCTTTATTATATTCCTATATCTTTATAATATATAATTTATTATCATATATTTCCAATATACTAATACAGTTTGTATATTTAAACTGTTTGAAGAAAAATATCTTCGTTTAATGCAAGTCCATATTAATTAAGTTATGGTTTAAAAAAAATAAATTAAAACTATATTAAGAAAACTGACTATCAATGTTATATTTTGTCATCTAGAACATCTATACTAATATTTGAGATCAATTTTTTTTTCAAAAAGTTGACATTTTTTTAAGCCCAATTTCTAGATTCAGAAATGCTAAAAGGTAAAATAATGTAAGAACGACTCTACTACAAAAAAAAATTATTTTTTAAATATTTTTAATAAAATAAGAAGATCTAAAAAAAAAAATATAAGTCTTTTCTAAGAAACCTATGATAACTGAAATTTTGATTAAAAAATGTTTTATTCTCGATAAACCAAATTTACAAGCGAAATCCACCTACTTCCATAAAGCTCTTTACTCAGTTCCTGATATCTATATAAATAAAATACAGGTTTTGTCTGTACAATGAATGGAATCAACCCTTTTCATGATTCCGTTTCATAAATTACAGATACCAAATCCACTTTAAAAAAAATTGTTTGTCTGTCTGTGTGTCCGCATTGTCCATCGAAATTTTGTCAGGAGTAAGCTCAACAATACCTAATGGTAGACTTTTGAAATTTTGACATTATATTTAAGTTTGCTTGACTTAAAAAATATGCTTTAAATGAAAACAAAATATTGAGTAAAATCAAACTTATGAATTCTTGAGTAATTTGTCTAGAGATCTCTGTTATGCATTAACTTACTTCGATTCTCATCCCAACCTACTCTACCGCGAGCCATATTTAAAAGTTACACTATTCAACTGATGGAAAAAGTTCTCACAATCAACGGGAAACCATTCGAAATCCTGAACATTTGTAACGCGTTATGGCTTAAAACACGGGTAAAACACATATATTTTTCAACTTTGCCCGATCTTGCCGTTCAAGACGTCATTTGATTCAACTTCTTCAGCCTAACAAATGTTGTGGTATACATTTTTAGGATTAATCAAACGGCTTAGCCGGAAATCGAGGGGGGAGGGCAACTCCCGAAAATATCACCCCGCCCGCCACAATATTGAGATAAAGTTCTAATTTTACACAGATGTTGTTGAATCAATGTCCACCGGAAGTATATATAAGAATATTCTCGGTTTTACCCTTTTTACATTTTTTTTTTCAAAAAGTGCATCAATGTATAATTTAATGCTCTTTAATATAAATTAGCTCTCATCATCATTGGTGTCGCTTAATAGAGTTTAAATTCCCAATGCTTAAATTTTTTTTTCTCTAAAGTACTTTTAAATAGGTTTATCTTAAATAATTAACTATATCTCATTTTTAGCAGTAATTACGCAAGGTTAAATTAAAACTTTGAAAGAATTTGATAATTAAAAAAAGAAAAATCGGTCGAGAATCTCCGGAAATAGTATTCAGAAAATATTCGTATACTATATCTTGGGAGTCCTGAGAATTTTAGGAAAAAACATTATCTAATATCGAAAGTTCTATAAAATAATGGAGGGTAAAGAAAACATTATAAGTTATTATAAAACAATGCTGTGTTTATTTCTTCACTATATTTATTTCACTTTACATAGCTACGTTTCGGCTGGTAAGCCATCTTTAAGCCATTTTATCCAACCATGCTTTTTGCATATTAGAAAATTTTCACCTTTGTAATTTTTAATTGTAATTTTCGCTGCCTAATTGAAATAATATTCTAGTCTTCCTCTTCCGGCGCACTATCTGGCCAAAATAGGGTTTATGCGAAAATAATTACCATACACTAATCGCATAGGAAATTTTATGGTGAATAAAATAATTCCTATAAACACGAGATCACCGATTAAGCTTTCACTGCATTGAAAACATGGGTTAGAAATTATTCAGCAGATTTTTGAGAAAAAAATTCAAGTTTTCGAAATTCAACCACAGCCAAAAAACGCATTCAGTTATGAAGAGGATGCATATCATGCTTCTGCTGCATAGCGAATGGTTACCACTATGATGTATATGATAGATCCCGGACTATTAGATGTCATGGTCATGAACTTTAGGTCTCATACGCAAATCGCTATTCCTTTAATTTACATAATTTTAAATAATGATCCACGAAAAAAATAATTTTTCTAGTATCCAACTGCTTAAAAGAGCGACAATGGTGTCCCATTTGTGGATATCAACATGCAACAACCCCTTCTGCTGTGTATTTCCGAATTCATTTTTAAATTGAATAATCTATCGTTCATACGATTTAGATTGTGGTGTTCAGGAATAGGAGTAGGATGAAAAGAAAACCACCTATTAGAAATGTTCTTGAGGTGCAGAGTATCGGCCAGTTTTGCTTGCCCGTCTGGGCTTTGATTATATTATTTCTAAAAGGTGTTTTTTGTCGGTACGCCATAACTTCGTCAATTCTTCATCAAATCCAATGATTGACCACTCATTTTGAAGATATTCTTCTCATTTACATACGAAAAGTATTCATATCCTCCCGAAATTTCTGGGGAAAAAGTTATGAAGGAAAATATACTTTATTTGCAAATAACTCAACAAGTATGCATTTTTTCTTTGTAATAATAATAATCAGAAAGATTAATAAATTCGTAAAAATCGGACAATTATTAACAAAGATACAGCCCATTAGTTTTGGTATACTTAATAATGTCTTCCTGTTTAACGATATTGCATTTAGGAGTAGAATAGTCTACTATGTTTAATGGAATATTGTAATCGACCAAGGAAAAATATTAATTCCTTCCTTACATAATACATAGGAACTACTTATTTCCATATTGTTTTACTATTTCTTCACTAAACAAAAGTTTCTGCAAATCTTTCGCATGGGCCAAATAGTATGATAAAATAAAGATATGAATTTTTTTTGTTTGGTTAGTAACGTATTTTTTAAAGATCTTTGCCAAGTATGTATAAATATCAGTTTTCAGTCCTTTTTTATTTGAATTCTGAAGCATATATTCTAAATACAATTACCTTGTTCTTAACTGACTTTCTTTTTGTTCGCAGGTGATGGGTGTAAATCTTTCAACGGCGCTTGGGGCATTTGCAAGCTAGCAAAAAATTGCCAGACCCTCGGAAACATCAGTAGTGTTTTACACCCTAGATGTAACTTCAAAGGTGATGAATTGATCGTCTGCTGTCCCGACAACATAATAACAACAACAACAACAACAACAACGACAAATTCGATAAAATCAGTTGAAGATAAGATGAGAATGGGGAGAATTATTAAAGAAGGGATTAAGCGATGTAAGAGTATTTTGTTTGAGTTTCTATTTGCTGGTTTTAGAACACCCTACTTTTAATGCTTTTTTCCGTAGCATTTTAAATCTAGTTCACTTACAATCGCAGAAAAAAAAAACCCAGTACATTTTTTTTTTAAATTTCTTTATTGAGTATTACAACAATCTGTCTCTTGGACGTTGGTCATTGGTTATAGTGAGGTAGAATGACATTCGCACTATATGTACAAAAAAAAAAATAAATAGAAACAAAATAATAATCAAAAGTATATACAATAGATAATAAAATAAAATAACCTAAAAAATAAGAAAATTAAAACTAAGCAAAAGAAAACATATGCATACCTAACATATATATATATATATATATATATGTAAGGAATATGAATGCTTTGGATGCGTTGTCGAAGGATTTGAGGGGTAAAGAGATCATGTCCAGGAGCTTTACGGAGGATTAGTTTTTTTAATTGAAATTTCACTTCAGAAGGATGAATAGCTTTTGGGGGCAAGGAAAGTGGGATTGGTGATGTAAGGAGTTCTTCTACTGTTACGGTGTGGGCAGGATGGGATTCCGGATGTGAAATAAACGTATTGGATAGGTGAATGGTGAACTCCTCAGCTTTATCTTCGTCAGATGCTACCCAGGTGCCATCATCTCGTCGAAGGGGATGGGAAATGCGGTGAGGATTTAGGATCTTTGTTGTGGTTTTCCAAAGGGAATTGTCGCGAGAAGAGATGGAGGATAGGTAGGAGTTGAAGGATTGTGATCTGAAGGTGGCTAATTTTTAAGTTTTAATTATTTGCAGTAATAATTATAGGAGCAGCGGTCGGTAGGATGTCGGGTACGTTGCCACAATAATCTGCACGGCGTTTGGTGTGAATTACGACAAGGTGTTGGGGTAGAATGGTCTTTTTAGGAATTCTGGAGGAGTCTTTTGTGAAGGAGGCAGTCCAGACGGCTTGATGGATTGTGGTACTAAAGGAATTTACGGCACTATCAAGGTCATCGGGAGTTTTGAGGGATATGTTCAGATCAATTTTATCGGAGAGGAGTTGGCGGAAAAGGTCCAAGTTAACTGGACATCTAATAAATGACGGTGGAAAAGATTTAGATGGTTAGAGGAAAGTTCATTAAGATGTGGAATGGAAAAATTGAGGGAACTTAAATCGCTGTGGATTTAGAAATCAAGAATACGGTTTGGATCTGTGGGCCAGTAGGTAGGAGAGTTGGGGGAACGGAGGTGAAAACGTTGGGAATTGAGTGCAAACAGCAGGGTTCGGCCAGGAAAATTCGTGGTTCTGAAACCCCATTATTGGTGCTTGGCGTTTAAATCTCCACACAAGATGAAGTGATATCCTAAGGAGCCGAGGAGAGAACTGAATTGGGCATTGGATATGGATCGGTTAGGAGGGCAATACGCCGATGCAAGAGTAACCGGAAAGGAGAAGGTTTTTATCACGATAGCGGTGGACTGTAGGAAATCATGTATAGGTAATGGGAGTGCGTGATGGGAGAGAAATTGGTGTACAATTACAGAAGTACCGGCATGTGCTTTTCCGTCAGGGTGGTCAGTACGATATGTCAGGTATTTTGAAGTGCTGTTTAGTGGTTAGTCGAGTTTCAGTAATTAGTGGCACATTAATGTTCTTGTCAAGTAGTCTTGTCAACAAACTTGAGAGATCTGTTGCATTTGAAGAAGGAGGAAGATGATGAATTTGTTGTTGATGGTTAGGTATATTAGGATGAAGAGGATTTTGAGGTTGTGATTGAGATTGTTGTTGCAGCAAGGCTTGACAGTTATCGGTTGAGCTCTTACCTCTAAGTAGCTGGGAAAATGATACACCATTATTTACTATTCTAGAAGGCTCTCTCTCTCTTCTTGGTCTTTCTGCTTCATCTTGAATCCGGTTTTTCTGGTGTTTGGATTTGAGATTCTTGTAAAGTTGGCATCCTTTGTAGTTGGCCGGGTGTCCCTCCAGGCATAGTGCACACACTGCAGGATCTTGTATCGGTTTTGTGCACTCCACTGATTTGTGCTGTTCACCGCACTTCACGCAACGCGGCAGATTGTGACAATATGTCTTCGTGTGGCCATAGGTCTGACAATGCACACTGCATGATGTCTCTCTTGGGGTATGGCTTCTCAACTTTCACCATTGTGTAGTATATTCTTGTGATACCATGTATTTTTTCGATACCTGTTGATGGCTCTAAGTCCACGAAAAACAATGGTAGTTGGATCCTATTTCGTAATCCTCCCTGTCTTCCTTCAAAACGTTTGTTACCTGGCGTACATTGAAACCAAGCGTCGTTAGTTCTTCTTTAATAACTTCAGTGGGGTTTGAGGAATTTAAATTTCTTATCACTACTCGTAACGCTCTTTCCTGCCTCAGCTGGTAAGTGTGAAATTTCGCATTTGTTTCTGATAAGTACTTCACTATTTTTTGGTAGGCTTCAGCAGAATCAGGTGTTATTTTTTTGTCAGTGGTCCTGTTAAGGCATGGATCTGCTCTACCAGAGCAGATTTTATTTAGTTTTGTGCAGACCATCTGGAAATTGTTGATATTTTTCATAAATATAGGAGGAGGCTTTGGTTCTCTGGGTATTGTTGCAGACTCCGTTACTTCTCGATCATTTTGAAGCACTTGGTAGGGGTTTGGAGTAAAGAAAGGCGATTCTTCAATTATTTCTTTAGAAGACGTACCTGATATACATATCATAAGAGAAAAAGAAAAAGGAAGAAAAAAAAAAAAGATGTCAACAGTAAATATCAACTGCCCTGATGTTCACTTTAACTGTATTAGGTGAATAATCAGAGAGATTCCGCTATAAAATAGGCAAACACTGAGAGAGTAGTTGAGGAGACAACCTTAGCATCAGCTGATCCACTGCCTTCTTCCCCAATAAAATAAAATAATTATTGTAATAATAATAAATTTTCTTCATAAAAACACCTCACAACTTTTGCATTTGAAAAGAAGTTCGCCGATATCTTTACAATTTAAGTGACTACGTTTACGCTAAAAGTTTGATTTTTAAAAATTTTATTACCTCATCAGTTCCAAGCACTAACAGATCCAGGATTTAATTTTTGGGAGGGGAGGTATATTTGGATAATGACTACCTATATGAAATGGCATTTAAGTGATTATTGAAGTCCTATTAAATGTAATTAGACGAACAATAATAATTTTAAAGATAATTTTTTCATAAAATATGGTTATATTTTACAATATTCTGGTTGATTGGATTTCAGCCCTTCGCCCCCTCCCCTTAGATCCTCCCGTCGTTCCAAGTAATATATATTTATAATTTCTTTTATATTCTATTCTTTTTCCAATCAAAGCAGAGATACTTCTTGATTTTCCTCGAGAAGTGAACAATGATTCAACATCTTTTTTATGTTTTTGTATAATAAGTTATACAAAAATAGTTATAGTTATAGTTTATAAGTTTGTAATTGAGTCAGTATAGACAATCAGATATTATTTAGTCAAAACCTGGGTTGATAGTAACTCGAATAAAAAAATAAATATAAAGTAATGGTAGTAACTCTGAATTATACGTTCCCGCCTGTTAAATCCTCAATAACTTCCGGGGTGATAGTTTGGGGAAAGGTCTTAAGACTGTTTTTAGAAGTTCAAACCTTTGTTAACAACCGGGTGTATCTGTTTTTTCGGGCGTTTGCGATCGATTGGACAAAAATGCGAAAAGGATCCAAATTGCTTGCAATTGTTTTAAATGTCATACAACTATTAATATAGTAGTTCATGTAAACAACTACAAAATCTAGACCAAACTTGAAAGAATACGAAATAATGTCCAACATCGAGCTCGACCTCAACCTAAGGTGTATTTTTTGAGGAAAGCCAATTCTTTTATTGCTCACCTAGAAACTAGTGATCCAAGGGTCAGAAATGCAACCAAAACGTGCAACTCACCTCTAAACTGTCCACAATTAATCGAAACCGATCACTATCCCGCCTTTTGAATTTGTCCAGTTAAAGCAGCAGTAAGTAGTTTCACAGATTCTTTTTGTGAGAAAGTAATATTCGAAATATTATTCAAATCGCAATATAATATTCATCAGTGGATGGGGAAATATTGGATTTTCTGTGACTACATTTAATGTGTTCCATCCAGCAGCCATACTGTCTTTATGCTACGCTATGTCATGTGACACCGATGTGAGAGGAGTTGTGACGAAGTAGTCGGTTATTTAGTCTCGTAATATTTATGAGATAACTGGCATTACTCGGCACTTTAAATAGAAAGCAATAAGAGTGGATTAATATCAAAGAATGACATCGCCCTTTTTTAAAAAATTAAGAGAAAACAATTTTCTGTAATATAGCTTCAATTTAAACTAGTTCTAATGATTTTTTTTTTATGATTGAACTTGAACATTCTTAAATAAAATCATCAAAACGGTTTGAGTTGAACAATAAAAAAAAAAAAAAAAATACCTATTTTCTTCTCTCTGAAAATGACAGATGTCCATCTTTGAAATGCGCCACTCATATTATTTCAAATGTCTAATTTTATAATTATTTGTTTGTATATTTAATGTATTGTTTAATGTTCAACATTTTGTTGATTATTTTATGTCAAATAAAAATGTAAATGTTTGTTTTTTCAAAATATTAATAGGGTGTATAAAAATTACAAATAGGGTTACGCGCAATTGTGTGTTACTCGCACCAATTTTAAAAAAATATATATTTTTGTTACATTATTCTTTCTTTAAGAATATTATTTACTACCTAAATAAATTATCTTTAATATTATTGCTATTAGTAAGTAAACATATTAATTATAAAGTCACTAATTAAAAAAAATAGCTTAAGTCAATATTTTGGTGTTGTTTGCTTATAGTTTGTAAGAAGCAGAATAATGAAGCTAGAAAAATATATGGTGGTACAGAGTCTGCACCTATGACACATCCATATATGGTAAGGCTTTTAATTGTTCTATACTTATCGATCTCTCATTACTAATATTCCATGTTATAATTTTCTTTCTACTATATTTGGTGTAGCGTTGCCGGGTGTTATGGCACGATCATAATTTTTAGGCAGGCATATTTTTACATGATTATTAATTATTGAAGTAAGTAGATTTTTACAGGGTCATACAATTTCAGGAAAATCTATATTTGTCGATCTTCAATTCGAAGAAACTTTCGAAACAGGAAATAAAGAAAATCTAATCTACAATTTTTATATTTTTGATTTCACTAGCACATTTTAAAAAAGAAAAGAACAATTAATTTATTGGAAGGGACTAGTGTCATCCCCCTTGAGGGGAAAGGCACCTCTGTTTGTGTGAACAGTGTGATTTATAAGATCAGTTAGATGCATTCAACACTGAGCCCAACCCAGGATGAATGCATCAGAAGATCAATTAGACTGAGGTAGTTTCCAGGTTATCAGGAAGAAGAGGAGGAATAAGACAGGAGGTAGAGACTTTCGACAGTGATTATGAGGGGGAATAAATGGGAATGATAAGGAAAGTGAGTACCAAATATGGCTCTTAAAACACAAAACCTTCGCTGATATAATTAAGACTCTGCAATTGAAGCCGCTCACAACATCTTATAAACTTATTTGAGAATAGCTGGATGAGGCAAAATTGCAGGTCAGGTTTTAAAGAAACTAGCTTCATCATCTATAATTGGCTCTACAAGTTCGCATAGAAGATGAAACAAACGCCACTAATCTTATAAAACTGCAAAAGCTTAAAAATACGCATTGATTCGAAACAAAATCTTTTTTAAAGACTGGAGTACCTTCAGCTCTCTGTTGGAGGGTAAGCTAATCGATGATGAATTGGAAAACAGTGAGACGAACTGTACAGATGACCTGGACTACATAGTGTCCGGGATCACTGTTATTTGTGATATTGCAGAAATTTCTCTTTGTCGCAGAAAGATGAGAAGGAAACTCCAGGATATATCGAAGCGAAATGTGCAGCAAAAAATGGAACTATTTAATCTTTTAAGAAACATTCAAGAATCCCAGTGGTATTCAGTATGGCAAGTTGAATCCGTTATAGAATATTGCAGAGTAAACCATGTAGAATCCCAGATCAACACTCCTGAAGAATATTCGTACTCGACAACATTCCCAAGATGCGTAACGGTATGATGACCGAATGTGCTACCATAGCTATAAAGGTTTTAGGTTCCCAACAACTTGTATGCTACATTGAAAAGTTACCAAGAGGATCGAAATTTGAGAGTATGAGATATCTTTTACAAAGTCGAAGAAAGAGTAGGCTAGAATATTCAGAGGTATAAGATACTATAATATATAATTATACCATATTAGGATTGTATTATATTTAAATTATTTCAACCAATGAAATAAAAGAGTAGAAGAAGGAAATAGGTGGTAGAAGTATCGATACTTCAACCAAATATCATATTGTCAAGAGGGAAAGAAGGGCGGAAATAAATAAATAGAGAAGGGCCTTTGCAAATTTTTCTGTTTGAATAATAATAACATCACGAGGGAAGTAAATTTTATTTAACAAACGTGACTAATTTAAATTACAGATTTTGAGTATGCAACATTAATTTAAAACTACCATGATTATCACTGTTCAACTCATTTATAGATACGCATTTTTGGCTTTGTACCAATGAAATGATTCCTATTGAATATAATCTATATTTCGGCCATAAGACTTATTTTTTAGCTACTCCTAGAAATATTCTCAATTTTTAAATAATCTTTAAACAATGCAGGTTTTGATCGGTTATGGTCCAACGAAGAGAGACTGGGGATGTGGTGGGTCTCTCATTACAGAAAGATATGTTTTGAGTGCAGCCCATTGTTCTCATCTTCCAAACTTGTAAGTAAACAATATTATTTTTTAATGTTATGATTTTTCCCTGGATTTATTCAACATTGTTAACTAATTTATAAAAAGAAAACACTGCAACTTTGGGAGTGATTTTCAACTTATTCAAAAACAAACCCCAAATCAAGTAATACATACTTGAAGCTTCGTTAACAAGGAAGTTTTTCTTAAAGTGGGATTTGATTAATTGATTCAGTTCATTATCACTTTTTTCATTATATACAGGTCCTTTTTTACCAAATTTGTACCATCCGCCTGAAACTTCGTAAATAGCTTCAGCAACTTCAAACAGCAAACATCATGTCATCTTAACCTACAATTATTTTATTTACGAAAATTCTAGGAATTGATGCATTTTTAATCAGGATCAGCAAACTTTGTCTATTTAATTAGGCAATAAAAACTTGTAAATACTCATTTGCTTTCCACTTGAATCCTAAGGTAATTTTAGAACCAAGTCCAGAAAAAAGGTGGCCTTCAAAGATATTGAACCGTTTGGCATGACCTATACTCCCAAATTGTCAAAATAATGAGGTTATATAGGCCAAACGGACCAATCTTTTTATATATTGTGTAATCAAATTTTCTTAATAGCCAATGTGTATTTACGAGGTTTTTGTACCTAATTAAATATACAAAATTTTCTGACCTTCAAACTGAACACGTCCCAATTTTAAGAGCTTTCGTAAATAAAATAGTTGTAGGTTACGGTGAGATGAATCTATTTACGGACTTTCAGGCGAAAATATAAAATTTGGTAAAAAGAGGTCTGTACCACAGACTGTTACTTCTTCTTATCTACGGGAATCCCTGTATAGCCAAGAATTTTGACATTCGTTTTAGCACATCGACACTTAATAACTTATTTTGCACATTAAGTTTGTTTATGCTATAAGTAGGGTATAAATGCCAGTTCTACCCCACTTTAATCCCTCAATTTGCGGAGCACTTTTGGACTTTGGACCCTGGGCTATTCTTACCTTAACCACCTGTACACCACGTGACAAATATAATTTATTTTGATTGATATTAATCCCTAATCTTAATACATAATCCATAATGCTAATCTTTAATCCTAATCCTTAATCCTAATTTGTATTTTTTTCATTTTTAAGTTCGACAGGTCCGGACCTTTCTCAACTGGTCCCATCTTGTCTACCTCATGTAAATATAAATTGTATTGACAAAAATATATATTATTGCAAACGAATATAAATTATAACAATGAAATATATTCATATATTCTAATAATTTTACGATAATATATCATAAAATTCCTACTGTTAACAACCACTTCATCACCCCTCCCCCCTCTTCTTCTCATCAACTTTTATATATTGTTTTTTCATAAATATCAAAACGTATTTAATAATCTAAGAATATACACCACCAATATCACGAATATTGTAATAAATCGAAATTCGATTAATCGAAATTGAAACTAATATGATTTCCGAATATTACACCTATAATAACATAATAGTAGACTCTATTATCAAAGAAATTCATAAATTTAATATACGTAATATTATTTTCATAACATATGTTTATTAATACTGTAGAAGGCCGTGGAGAGTATCTGGCACTTCGAATAATCTTAGACTCCAATATCAAAGAAAGTTTTATTAAATCAAGGAATCTATCTTAATTTCGATTTCATTTTCGAATTCTACATCTATAATAACCTAATAGTAGACGCTAATATCGAAAAAAAATAAATATAAAGTTAATATACGTAATATTATTTTCATAACATATGTTTATTAATGATACAGAAGGCCGTGGAGTGTACAGCTGCGTTAGGCGACAAGTCTCTTCACGTTTGAACATGCATAGACATGTAGGGGGACAAGGTCCACTGCGAAGGAAGCGGTAGGGTCGGAAGAGAGTGGTGGGGGAAATCATCAGCCGGATTCGAGGATACAGCCGGAGGTACCCGTGTGCCTAACCCCACTACTCTCATTCTAGCTCCTTACTTCACAGTGTTCATATCGTACTTAGTGTCCTCTGCGTTAGAACTCTCTCTCTTTGGCTACAGTTTTGTTTATGTTATTAGTTTAGTTTTTTAGTTATCTACAGTGTTTTTTCTTTATTTCAAAGTTATTTTTGTTTCTTCATATTTTTTTTCTATCCTAAGGTAAGTTTTTTCTTTTTATTTATTATTAGTTCTCTATTAAAAATTTTCTCTATTTTGTTAACATTTTTCTTTTTGGGTTTTCTTTTTACATCTTCATAGTGTTCTTTTTTTCTCTTACTATTATGTATATATTTATTAAAGTTTAAAGTTTTTTCGTTTCGTGCTTTCTTTATATTTATAGTTATTATTCTTCCTTTTTCTTCTTATTATATATATATTTATTCTACTTTAAAGTTATTTTTGTGTTTTCTTAATATTTATAGTGTTTTTCTTCTTGTCGTTTACAAAGTAATTGTCCTCTCTTTTTGTGCTTATTATATATATATTTAAAGTTATTTTCGTGTGTTTTTCTTATTATCATTTTCAAAGTTCTTATTCATTTGTTTTCTTATTGTTATATATATATATATATATATACATATATATATATAAGTTAAGCGTCGGCGGGCTTTGAAAATAAAAAAAAAGAAGGAAAAAGGATCGAGAAACAATACTCACGGCTTCTGAATAAACACTGCTTTATTCGTTCAATAATCTGCCTTATATACAATTGTTATGTTTATTTACATTACAAGATGGTATTAAGGCTGATATCGCCAGTCTCCGGTCTTTATCTCCCCCCCACCAGTTTACGAATAGGATTTTCGGAAACTTATAAATTCCTAGATCGGAGCCACCGGTATCAGCCTTAACCCTTTACAATTATTCGTACCAGTATAAACTTAAAGTACACCAAAACTCACTTCCACTCCGCTGGAACGAGAAATAAATAAAAAGAAATAAAACACAGAAAGTAAACACACAACGTCTTATTAACAATGGAACAGAACTCTTAATCCTATAAAAATTACAATCGCCTCTATTATGTTGCTATATCTTCATTTACAAGAACAACAAAACAAAAAAAATGACATCATCAACAATAATAAAAAAAAAAACATATTTCTTATAATACGCGATAAGGGTACTACGAATCAATTGGTTTATGTACCGGTTCTAACATTGGGAGCTTCAATTGTTCAATATGAACAGTTCTCCTCTTCTTAGGTTCGTTAATGCTTTCAATGGTTACCAGATTATGCTCCCTAATAGCAACCACTCTGAATGGGCCCTCGTACCGTAACAATTGTTTCCCTCTGTTGGTTCCAATTCTACGGTACACTATTGTTCCGATTTTTAATTCTCCTATTCGGTCACGTACCTGCACATTCTGCCGCGCTACCCGCTTCTCCTTTTCCCGCTGAATTCTCCCCGTTACCTTTCCCCACGTCTTTTCTACCTCTACCCTAGTACTCTGGATTTGCTCTACGAGATGTTCATTGGTCGTTGTTTCCCCCCAATCTCTCCTTGGCCTGCGCATCCCGAATAGTATTTCCACAGGTGAAAACCCCGTTACGGAGTGGATCGAATGGTTATAAGCTGTTACGGCTTTCTTCATCGCAACATACGGCTCCAACCCTTTCTCCCCCTGATATACACGGATGTGGTCACTCAACGTGCTGTGGAATCGTTCGATTCCTCCTCTACTCTTAGGGTGTCCCGGTGTGTTATAATGCCACACGACCTCTAACCTTTTCACCTCCTCCCTAATCGCGGTATTGTCGAACTCTCTGCCACCGTCTGATGTGATCCTCTCGGGAACTCCGTAAAACTGTATCCAGATTTGTAGGGCTTCCGCAACTGCATTGGCAGACTTGTCCATGACCTGATGTGCCATAGCTACTTTACTAAAGGTGTCGATGATCGTGACCCACTTGAACCCTTTCCAGGTGAATGTATCAATCTGGAGGTCTTGTAGCGGCATATTCCCTGTAGGTGTCTCTTCCTGAACTCCTCTGGGGGGGGTGTCGATCATACTTTGTGCGCATACATATCTCGCATTTCCCGATGATTACTTGGATAGATTTTTTCATTCCCCACCAGAAATACTTTCGCCGTAATGCCTGCAATGTCTCGTTGACGCCTCGGTGGTTGGTCTTCCCCTGGTGGTATGCCAATGTGACTGCTTGTTGTTGCTCCTCATCCTGTACGGTTTCCACTGCATACTTGCACCGGATGATCGTTCTATCCATGCCTATTCGCTCGAATCTCCACATCCGCTTTATTTTCTCCCATACCGTGTTGTTCCCAACATAGAGATGGTGCGTCTTTCCCGGTTCCGTGGCGTCCTTCAGTGCCGTACGGATTTGCTCCTCGCTCACCCCGGGTTGCGACCAAATGACGCGAATCCTACTTTTCCCGTATCTTCGGTAATCTATTTTCATAATCCCTGTTGTCCTTGTTTTCCAGATTACCTGTCTATGCTTGTCGTTGATGATTTCGTCTATTTCCTCCATCTCCGCTGCTCTTTCCTCCGCTGAGCTATCTTCTTCCGGGGACTCCTCCCTGTCCTCTATATTGACGGTATCATCTGCCCCTTCACCCTCAGGAGTCCATTCCCTCAAGAATTGGCGCACGTCCCGCGATGGACCTCCCCCGTCCTCTTCTACCGCGTTGATCATGATGGCCCTAGAGAGCCAGTCTGCCACCACGTTTTCCTTTCCCGGCTTATACACCACCTCTATGTTGTACTGACTAAGGAATTCTTTCCATCTCGTGACCCTCGCAGAGGTTTCCTTAAGTTTCCCTACCCACTGAAGGGGTTTGTGATCGGTGTGGACTCGAAACTTCCTCCCAAATATGTATGGCCTGAAATGGTCGATGGCCCACACTATCGCGAGTAGCTCCCTCTCTAACGCGCTGTACCGTGATTCCGCGCTCGTAAGTCGTCGGCTCGCGTATGCTATCGGACGTTCACCATCACTTCTGCCCTGGGACAAAACGGCCCCCAACGCGTATTCGCTCGCATCGGTGG